GCTGGTTTTGCCGCCCATCCCTTGCGCGCGACGAGCCTGGCCTCCCCCGCAATGCCCATCATCTGTCTCCTCTTCTATTTTAACCGCCCAGAACCACTCATTCCTCTTCCAAAGCCATAAGCTTTACCACTCAGTCTCCTCTCTGTTTGCACACTTGGTTGGATCATTCTTAAGTTCTTTGTCCTGGTAAAGTGAATCTTACGGCCATCCCTTTATCTTTATTCACCGTGGTGACTCCCGTCATCCTCCAACGTTACACCATCTATGTTGCCTGGACGCCATTTCCCGCGAGGCACTCGTCATTGAGCCGACTCCGGACATGAAACTACCCAGGATCCCACCATTTGCTACTTAATCTACCGAGTACGACAATGAGTGTGCCCTCGTACCTGCGCTTGGCCTTTCGGCCTTGCCAGGCTGCTTCGAGCACCTATCCTGGGAAATCGCTGCTTTGCCTTCAGCAGCCAGGCATGTGGCTTCCACTTCCAACGTGTGTCATGCAAGCTTTGTGGCAGGGTTGCTAATGTTACTTGAGATCGATAGTGGTGTCATCAATCCGAATCCCTTCGTATGCGCTCGGATACAATTACGCCGCCTCGCTGTTCATCGGAACCTTACAAAAGAACCCCCGAAGATACGCGAGTAGTGCTCCCGAGTCCCCCGCTGTCCCGACCACTCCTTACTCCTCGTTGACTGTGGGCGTTCCTCGTGAAATCTTTCCAAACGAACGACGCGTTGCTATTACCCCACAGAATGTGGCTCTTTTGCTCAAAAAGGGCTTCTCGCGTGTTCTGGTTGAGCGCGGGGCCGGCGAGAATGCTGAATTCCTGGATAAAGCCTATGAAGAAGCTGGTGCGGTCTTAGTGGACCGGAACACCATTTGGTCTCAGAGTCAGGTCGTGCTGAAGGTCCGTAGTCCTCAACTCCAGGGTCCCAACAATGAAGTTCGGGACCTGCGCCAAGGAAGTACGATTGTCTCGTTTCTGTACCCAGCACAGAACAAGCCATTGGTAGAAGAACTTGCCGCACGTGGTGTGACCGCTTTCGCTATGGATATGATACCCCGGATTTCTCGCGCGCAGGTTTTCGATGCGCTGAGGTGCGTAAGGTTATATTGGAAGCTTTCCCACTTTACTAATAATGTCTGAACAGCTCTATGGCCAATATCGCCGGGTACAAAGCGGTTCTAGAAGCTTCAAACCACTTTGGTCGGTTTTTGACCGGGCAGGCCACTGCTGCTGGGTAGGCGACACGTCCCATCATTGATGTCCATGCACTAACGTTGTTGATGGTAGAAAGGTGATAATGCTCATGTAGCGGATTGACTGCGTGACGTGCTAAGTACTCCCTAGATACCCCCTGGCAAAGTGCTGGTTATTGGTGCTGGCGTGGCTGGCTTGAGTGCAATTGCATCGGTAAGCGCTTCGTCGCCACGGATTCTATTAGCTTCGTTTACCGACAGCTGGGGACGTAGGCTCGGAGACTGGGCGCTATCGTTCGTGGCTTCGACACTCGACCGGCCGTCCGTGAACAGGTTCAGTCTCTTGGGGCCGAGTTCATTGAAGTCGACATACAGGAGGACGGCTCTGGTCAAGGAGGCTACGCTAAAGAGATGTCCAAAGAGTTCATAGAAGCGGAGATGAAGCTTTTCATGGAACAGTGCCGAGAGGTAGACATCATAGTCACCACAGCCCTCATTCCTGGAAAGCCTGCACCCAAGCTCATTACCAAGGAGGTAAGAATAAATCTTATCAATTCATCGAACAGCTCGCTTACCCTGATGTAGATGGTCGCGGCAATGAAACCCGGCTCGGTGATCGTGGATCTTGCCGCAGAGGCTGGTGGCAATTGTGAAGCGACGGTTCCCGGACAATTGACCAAATACAAGGATGTTACTATCATTGGTTTGTCTATTCATGATTCTATGGAGTAAATCTGAATTAACTAGATCAGGATACACTGATCTGCCATCACGCTTGCCAACACAGTCATCGACCCTGTACTCCAACAATATTACCAAGTTCCTTCTCTCAATGGCCCCTCAAGAAAAGTCCTTTGGTATAGACCTATCAGATGAGGTTGTTCGCGGTTCAATCGTCACCATGGACGGAAAGATCTTGCCGCCAGCGCCACGCCCAGCACCGCCCCCTGCTCCAAAGCTCGAGGCAGCTGTGCCTACAAAGGAGCAAGCAGAATTGGCAGTAACACCTTGGCAGAAGGTGACCCGTCAGGTTGCTGCTACAACCGCTGGTATGGGAACAGCTCTTGCACTAGGGAAGGCCACCGGACCTGTCTTTATGGGGAACCTGATGACTTTTGGCCTTGCTGGACTCGTTGGCTATCGTGCTGTGTGGGGTGTCGCACCAGCTCTCCATTCCCCGTTGATGAGTGTGACGAATGCGATTTCTGGTAAGTTAGCCATAGCCTTTTCAGTCAGATTATAGTATTAATGGTCCCAAGGTATGGTTGGCATCGGAGGATTCTTCATAATGGGCGGAGGGTATATGCCCAGCACGATTCCAGAAGCCCTAGGAGCTGCTTCAGTCTTAATGGCCTTCATGAACATCTCTGGAGGCTTTGTAATCACGAAGCGCATGCTGGACATGTTTAAACGTCAGTGATTCACCTTTACTACGATATATCTTCTGACCCTATCTAGGGCCTACTGATCCACCGGAATACCCTTGGCTTTATGCTATTCCGGGTGTCTTGTTTGGTGGCGGCTTTGTTGCTGCTGCCAGTACCGGGATGGCTGGACTGGTTCAAGCCGGGTATCTCGTTAGTAGTCTTCTATGCATTGGTATGTATCATCATGCATCTATTGTGCCAGTGCTGATTTCATTAGCCTCCATCTCTGGACTTGCTTCTCAGCAAACTGCCAGACGCGGAAACATTCTTGGTATCCTAGGGGTTGGCGCCGGAATCCTTGCTTCTCTTGCGGCTGTTGGCTTTTCTTCCGAGGTCCTGACGCAATTCGGCATCGTGGCAGGCGTGGGCTCGCTCGTTGGTATGTTCTTCGTTATGTTCTGGATGGTAGTGGTATTGATAGTCTCTAGGTGCACTGATTGGCCGTCGCATTACACCAACTGGGCTTCCTCAAACCGTCGCTGCCTTGCACTCAGTTGTTGGATTGGCGGCCGTGCTCACAAGCATTGGTAGTGTGATGGCCGATGTTTCACACATCTCGACCTTACACATGGTGACGGCATACCTCGGTGTTCTCATCGGTGAGAGAGTGAATACCTGTCACTTGGATAGAGTCCTTGCTAACTCGAGCAGGTGGTGTCACCTTTACGGGCTCGATTGTCGCTTTCCTGAAACTTGCCGGCCGCATGTCCTCACGACCCACGATACTTCCAGGCCGACATTTGATCAATGCGAGTTTGCTTGGGACTAACGTGGCCACCATGGGGGCCTTCGTGACGATGGCACCCGCATCACCAGTTATCGCTGCGACATGTTTAGGAGCGAATACCTTACTCAGTTTTCTGAAGGGTTACACCACGACTGCTGCTATTGGTGGAGCTGACATGCGTAAGCCAGACATCGGCAGACATTATGGCTGCTTAGCTAACAGATTTTAGCTGTGGTCATCACCGTGCTCAACGCATACTCTGGCTTCGCCTTGGTAGCCGAGGGGTTTATGCTTAACAATCCGCTTCTCACAAGTGTAGGCTCCTTAATCGGAGTCAGCGGCTCCATTCTGTCATATATTATGGTCAGTGACTGAGCTTCACCAACCATCAAGCTTTTCTGATGTGATCTAGTGCGTTGCGATGAACCGATCTTTAACGAACGTATTGTTCGGCGGAATCGCTGCTCCTCAGCAAGCGAAGAAAATCGAAGGCCAAGTAACCCAGATTACCGTGGACGATACTGCCGAGGCTCTCTCAAATGCGGAAAGCGTTATCATCGTGTGTCATCTCGTTTCCCCTGATTATGAGCTTAGCTGACCGCTGTAACAGGTTGTCGGATACGGCATGGCGGTGGCAAAGGCGCAGTATGCCCTCGCGGAGATTGTTAACATGCTACGCTCCAAAGGCGTCAAAGTGCGCTTCGCCATTCATCCCGTCGCAGGGAGAATGCCGGGGCAGTGCAACGTGCTCCTTGCCGAGGCCTCTGTACCTTATGATAGTAAGTTCCTGTCTTGGTTCACCTAGTTCCAGTGACTGATTCGGCACAGTTGTGCTCGAGATGGATGAGATCAATGACGACTTCCCCGATACGGACTTGACTCTGGTCATCGGCGCAAATGACACCGTCAACCCGATTGCTCTGGAACCTGACTCGCCCATCTCGGGTATGCCCGTGCTGCATGCATGGAAGAGCAAAGAGGTCATTGTGATGAAGCGCGGCATGTCTAGTGGATACGGTAGGGTTCTCTGTTTCTCGAATAAATGAGAACATACTAATTGTTGGATAGCTGACGTACCAAACCCGATGTTCTTTATGCCTGGGACCAAGATGTTGTTTGGAGATGCGAAGACTTCTTGTGATGGTAAGTATATTCGTCGATGGTATCTGCTGTCGACCTGTTCTAACGCTTCATAGCTATCAAGAGCGCCATAGAAGCGCGCAAGTAGACCCTTTCAACGAGTATATGAATGGACACTGCGACGCGTCAAGATGGGATGGATGACTCATGATTTGGGGTCAGGAATCTCTGATTTCGCAATCATTTCGGATATCATAGGATGTATGCTAGTGCACCAGACATGGAGAAGACTTAATAACGTGCTCGTCGTTGTTTCCATTCGTAGCTATTATTATCGCAGGCAGACTGATTCACATTACAAAGCTGCGGTAGTTCATTCAAGCGACACAATCAACACTTGAGATATTTAAGGGTATAACTATTTGCAGACTCTTGACTAGAATTGGGGCGAGTCATCCTCAACTCATGGTCGCTGGCATGTGGAGATTCACTCTCGGTATGGTGCTTCCACACTTAACTCGGTGCCCCTCCGCAAAACACATTATAACTCAAAGGCGAGTCGCACCCACACTCATTTGAAGTGATGAATTGCTTCTGAACAGAGTAAGCATTCAAAACAATACGTTTATGATATAATCTGTTAACATTGAATCAGAACTACAAGATGCCAGTGGATAGCAGGAGCATCACTCACACCACCACCGGATCAAACTACGAAGTGTCTACACCTCTCGAACCCGGCGCGGGTCCGACATCTCAGAATCCTTTGGAGGTAGCCTATTCCGCACCAACAAGGGCACACAGTCCATCGCGCTCAGCACAAACCCGAGGAGGAGCATATGGAAGCACTCACCGTTCTTCAGATCGCGGTCTTGCTCGTCAAAGTACGTCACCGTGAGCAGATCGGGGATGTCGCTGTCGGGATTTTTCTCCTGCCGCGTGTGTCCATCGAGGTCCAGGAGCACCAGATGCTGGAAGTCGAAGAGCGCGACGTGGCCGATGCCATGCACGGCGCCGTACTTCCTGGCTTGCTGGGTGTGGGGGATGGCGTTTGCTTGGAGGCCGTGGGTTAGGACGGTGTTATCGTCACCATTGTCGTCGCCCCCCTCAGCCTGCCTCGCCTTGACCCCTCGCCACTGACGCTCCCCGCCCACGACGCCAAGATAATCCAGCCCGCGCACCTGGTTCGGCGGCTTGATGACCAGCACGGCGATGTCGACGCTGAGCCCCCACGCCAGTCGGAGGGTCCAGACGTACAGCTTCTCGCCCCAGGGGCCGTGCGTGAAGCCGCCGACAATCTTGCCGCCCAGCGGCCAGCTGCCCACGAGGAGACGATCCACCCCGGGGATCAGGTTGGCCTCCGTCATCCAGCCGACGTCCTCGGCCGTCGCGACCTGGGGTAACTCCAGCGTCGGGAGCTCGGTGTCGCGGAGGCGGCGGTCGCGGGTGGTCAGCGCCGTGTAGCGCTCGCGCGCTTGGTCCAGGTACACCTGCGCGGGAATCCATCTGATGACTTTGTAGGTGTGGCCGTCTTCTGGGGTGGACAGCGGGGGCGCCTCCGTCATGAGGCGGTAGCGGGTCGGGGTCCAGCAGCGCGGAAGGCCGGTGTGGAAGGCCTGTTCCACGGTTTTGGTCGGGGGCGATTGGGTGGGGCTGGTGGCCATTGTGGTTGTTGTGGTTGTTGTGGGTGTCTATCGTCTGCGGGTTGTTAGCTGGGAGGGGTATCGGTTGATGTGCTTGGTGGTTTGGAGGGATCTTGTATAGGGAGATGTGGTGTTCGTTGGAGATGTTGCTGTTTATATACAGGTAGTCTTTATGCTACAGTCCGGGTGGAGGCTTTCGGTTATACCACGCGGCTCGGGATTGTCCTGCTAGCAAGCTACAGAAAAATTCCCAGAGTTACCTGCCACAGAGAGTAGTTATCGGAAACTTACTGTTCATCTCATTGTTTCATTATGGATATCTCCTGGATACCGAGTATCTCTGCTCATGTTGGCGGTCTGGGTGAAAAGGCTCCTGTAGGGGAGACAAAGGAACAACCATTGCAAAGCATCTGATCATATCCTGACGATGAGGGTAGTAGATTTGCTCGCGGCTGACTAGTCATGTTTGACGATGCTTCTCTCTTGAAGGCTGATGAAGTCCATCACTTTTCGTTCGGCTTATGACAGAGAACTACTGGTATGGCTTCGACAAATGCCTGGTCATACTCTGTCTACAGTTGTCGCAACACTGAACCCACGTAGGACCGAGCAACGGCAAACCCTAGCATCTATACTTCTTTCCTAAAGCCCCCACACATCAACATATACTTACTGGAGAACCTACAGCACTCTAACTTTCGCAAAAGTTGGGCAATGTATGCATACTGGTATCGTTCCGTAAAACAGAAACACCTACCCAAGCTGCAAGGCCCCCGAAATTCGCAATACTGCAGGTATGCATGCAAACTGTACGTCAGTATATATCGTTGATCGTCATATAGGTGGACTACCCAGGACGAATTGGAAAAGATTATACTCGGCCAACTACCGAACAAGGATCTAGAGATCCGGTTGGCACTTGTCTCGTCAACAGTAAGAAAGCGAAATAAACCAAGCTCCACTTGGCTCAAATCACCGTTAGCGGTCATTTAGCTACCAGACAGCACTTTGCTGATCTTCATTATTCTTTTTTTTTTGTGGTAGTGTGTTCGCGTAGCGACGAAATGCGAGCATAAGCCCATACATCCCGCCAAGAGAGACCATCCTCCCTGTGATCCGCTCCACACCATCATACGACTTTCAAGGGAGAAAAAAAAAGTAAGTCAACGACAGGGCAGTGGTAAAGAATGCAGTTCAGACAAGCATATTTTCCGCGTCTCAAGCTTGGCTGGTGGATGGTCTCCTGCTTTTCCCTGGATACCACGACATCGAAAATTCGCCTGTATGTAGGGTAGAGAAGTGTGTAGGATGTATGTATGTAGGGCTTTGCGGCATGAAGGCACACAACCACCATACTGAAACAACTCTCTCCCTTCCCTCATCCATCCCTTCCCTTCCTCAACCACCAAAATCCATCGGCACTACAACTCCAAAGACACTTGCACAAATGACGCAACGATTCATTACATTCTCTCCCCTCCTTTTCATCGTAGACCCGAAATCCGAAACCCGAAACCCAGGTGTGCCAAAAATGCAGCTAATCAACTCTCCTAGATTGACAATCCGGTCCCTTCTCAGCTTGACAGTACCTACCTGACGAAAGGAAAAAGGTTATGCCATGGATCATATCGTCATTCTTCAGCAGCGAGAAAGAAAAGAAGTACCAGGCTGAATGCAATCCCGACCGCCGCTATCGTGCAGGGATATCACTCCTAGTGTATAGACTAGACTTAGGTAGACTTAGACGACTGTTTGCCCGGGCGACAACTACCAAACAACCCTAGGCTTTACTTGCTTAGGTTCACCGTATAGACTAGGTAAACTAAGACCCAAAATCCACCTGTCATTCCGACTCCGACTTTTGGTGAATCAACATGGCCAGCCCCCTCCCCACATCGCTCAACGGTCTTGCGTGGAGACGAGGCAAGTGCAATGCATAAGTACTGTACTGTGCGGTACGGAGTACGGAGACGGTGCCTCACTTGAACGGTCTGAGGACTCCGTAATATGCACCGTTACTCCGGATGCTGGCGCAGAATAGGGGGTTAGTTGTATACCAAAGAAGGGAGGCATAGCCTCGGTCATTTCGGAGGTTCCATTTTCTGGTAAGTGGGGGGCTTGTTGGAGTCAAGGTTGTCTGTCATATTGTCTGATTTTGTACGTTATGAAAAACAAATTTCAACGGTGACGATCAGGATCAGGGGGCAGGGGGAGTTTATCCTGGATAGACTTGACAGGTGTCTCCATTCTGTCCTCTACATAGCAAAAAGGAAGTGGAAGGCCAAGGCCAAGGCACGTAGGTCAAGGAAAAAATCTGGACTAGGAGTGTTTACGGTAGTTTAGGGGATTCGGAGATGTCAAGGGACAAATTTGGCAAACGGGCTGTCATAGCCGGGCGGGTAAACTCCACTTCTGTGACTTGACTACACTATAACAAGTTAAGCAGTCCAGGGAAGAAGGACGGCCGTTGGCGGCCGCAACGCTCGCTCGGGAGGTCTCCGCAGTTTATATTGCACGGTTTAAGAGAAGGAAAAAAAGACTGAAGTGGGTCAAGCAATAAGACACAAACTTATAGCCACGGAGGACGGAGAGGGAAGGGGGGGAAAGCAAAAAATAGAAGTGAGGTGTGGGATATGAAGATTCTTTCTTGGTCACTGCCTGCTTATTTGCCGGTTATATGTACGGTCTCTATAGAACCGGGATGTTTGACCCCCTCCAGGTCTACGTACTTCTCTTGCCGGTCAGGGGCGCATGTCATCCATTCTTACCCTGAAGGTATATCTCGACGACAACAGATGCGCGCGCCCGACTTTAGCGGTGTGTTGATGGTTAAGAGAGGGGGGGGGGGCACTCCATGGGTCATAATGTTTTCCCTGGCAGAGGGGTAGTGAAGCACATCAAAAGCTACAGTGTCGGGTCCGTGTGTTCTGACATGCCTTTTTCTGAGGTACAGTGCGTCCTCCGTCCCTCTCCCCGATAACACCTCTCTCATCATAACCTTGGGTGTTGTGCGGCTTCACATCCTCAAGTTGCAACCGGTGGCGTTCGATAATGTGCAAAGATTTGTCAGAATATGTTCGCGTTTCAGAAAACTGACGTTGTGTGCTCCCATATATAGAACACATGAAACGCCCCCTCCCCCATTTCGATAGCGTGGTGATCACAGAGCGAACCTGCTCCCCCCGGGCGCCCAGCGATAAAGTTGCTCGTTATCTTCTCCCCAAATCAAGCAGTGCAGTGGCTCATCCCCCGACCATAATTCTCCGGTTCTTTCCCCCTCTTGTCGCATTAGCCTTGGCTTCTTCCAGAAAGTGTCAGGGGGATGGGTCCCTCAACCGCTGGGTGAAGCCGGCAAAGGGTGGGGTTGGAAAGAAAGAATCCTGTTTCAATGGAGTCAGATCTATCCAGACTGCGCCCGGCGCGAGAGCAAGAAGCGAGCCATGAACGGAGAATAGGGACGATCATTGTTCATTATTGACCTCGACACGATAAGCATTGACAGAAGCGATTGTTGCAGCGGTTGCTGAAACAATGAATGCTTCACTTGTGGTTGTCAATTAACGCCCGGGAGGATCATTGGGATTGCCCGGGGGGAGGGGGAGTCTGGGGGTGAGGTCGACGGAGAAAGACAAAAAAGCTACGAAGCTTTGTCTGGGGAGAGAATGTGTGTTCCCTGAGCAAAGGCGGAAAATTGCCCGTCTGCTGTCGACGTCACGTCGCAGTTTCTGGCCAGGGGGGGATATTGTGGCTGGGGTTGTATGCGGTTGATAGGTACGATGATGTACTGCGCATCAGGAGTATCAGGTAGTACAGTGCTCTGTAGGTAGGTAGGACACACGGCACGGAATAATTCCAATTCTGCCCAGCTAAATATAACCAAGATAACAAGATCGCATGGGTATGGAGGTAAGATGTACTTCGTACATGACTGTCAGTTGTTGATCACTTCGCGCGCAGAAGCGCTGGGGTTGCATTAAGTTTGCGTATCAGTAGGATGAAGGGTGGTGGTGGTGGTGGTGAGGCCAGCAAGGGGAAAGGACGATGGAGCAGACAGAAACCGAGCTAAAAATACAGCTGGTTTGGTTAGTCTGCCGAAAGCACGGTCGTCCATCCTCTCTATACTACGATAAGCAAGTCCTCCGTGCTACAACCAGCCATCTGCATCTGCATCCGTCAGGATTGGAATCCCTCGTCCAGTCTCCGTACTTGGTAACTTCTTTTCTGGCAAACGAACAAACACCAACTGCACAAAACTTGGTTGCTTTTTCTTTTCCTTTGGGGCGGACCAAGCAAACCAAGAGGCGGACTGGCTTACCCCTGGCCCCTCCTCCATGCTGTTCGGCTGTTTCAAGCTGCAACCACCGTTTGGATGTGTTCCTGCAGGTCGAATTACGGTTCGGCCGTTGATGGGTTGAGGAAATTGGAGTTCCTGAATGATGGTTCATTCATCTTGGCTATGCAGCCTTCTTGTCTGGTTTGAATTCTTTTTCGATGAGGTTCTCCGTAGGTTGGAGCGGCGTGGCATCAGATCATGGATTATCATATCTATTTTGGGCGATCCTTATTCTCTGGGCAGGCGGATAACACCGAAGATTATCCTACCACCAGTTTGACGGGGGATCGCCGAATGATTCGAGCGAGGATTTTCCCGTCTTTTCCGGATTCTCACTGTCTTTGGTGATCCTCGAGGCCTATGCGAACTTGGATCTTCGGAGATCACGGGTGGACAATTTGTCGTTTGTGTATTGTTAATACCTCTACTTTTCAGGGAAGCTCGAAAATTGGACAATCAATTGCGGCCGTTCCCTGTACCTTATTGTCTGTACGACTTCATCTGCCCTGGCAGATTGAAGAAACTGGTGGCGATGCATGGCTTTGCTGCAAGGACAGGGCACCGTCGCTGCAGGGAGCTTTGCGTCTATCCACTGTCTATCCACCGTCTCCAGTTGATATTGCTGGGGAAAAGAGGGTCAGGGAGAAGAAAAACTCCCATTCGCCGGTCGGGTCAATCGGCCTTGGCGCCGCATGGTCTCAAAAAGTGGGTAGTGCTTAGTGCCTCTGGAATAGGGGGCGGACTTAGTACTGAGTACAAGAAAATATTTTCTTGCTTGCTTTGGAATCCTCGTATATTCCAGTGAGGGAAATGAAGAAAAAAAAAAAAAAAAAAAAAGGCTCAAAGGCGGTGAAGGCCAGTCTCGGTGCAGCCACAGCAAATCCGGGCGTGCTGCGGCGGCGTCAAAACTTTTCCTCTTCCTCGACTCTTCCT